GTCAATGGAAACGCAGCTACCGTCAATAGTGATATTTCCAGAGACATAAAAGTTTATGTTTTTGTGTGAACTGGCAGATTGAGATTTTTGCATGGCAGCAGATAATAGGTTGTTTTCATTTAAGCCATAACTCAGACATAAATATATCTGTTGATGACAATAACAGGAATTCAAGATCCAGGTCTGACGGAGCATRTATTAATTGAGATTAAAGTAAAACAATGGCAGGTTTCTAGCTTTAAAAAGTTTTCTTGCCAGKGGAAATAGTTGACTGAATCAAGTCRCTGCTTCAGTACAATCCCCTGGTTTGAGGCAACAGACTGCAGTAGATTGGGGGAAAGCTCCCTTTTACCAGGAAAAGATCTCCAACAGAACCATATTCAGTGTGGGCACAACCATCTGCCTCCACCAGATGGGGGTTTTGACTACAGTATTCTGTCTCATCAAACGACAGATTTACCCTGTGGAGATTTTGATCATTAGTTGGGCTGTGGAGCGTGGTTTTCTGTTCAGCTGGCCTGTAGGTGGCAGTACTGCACCAAAAAACAGGCCYAGTGAAAACAAGTAAGATGACTTCCTGCATGTTTTAGTATTTATGAATGCAAGAAAAAAAGAAAAATGTTTTACTTTAGGTTTACAGAAAGTTGTGCTCTTTCATCTAAACAAATTTGTGTGCTTAGTTCCAATAATACAGTCAGCCTGCACCAAACACACTTATATAGCATTACCTTTGTCCTCTTTACACTGAGTGATGATGTCTGATGGCTTTGGAGAAACTCCAAAGCAAAATCATGGTGGTTTATCACAGATGGCAGAGTATAYTGGAACATGAAGAAGCATGGTGGTAGCATATCCATTAGGGTTGGGCTATGTTGGCCCCAAAGATTTTACACGATTAACTTTAGCATTTCACCAATAACAATTAATATGACTTTYAATAGATACACTTGCATATAGCCAACATTATGGCCTTGGTCTTCATTTTCTGTCTCTCCTCATTTTTCAGTTTAAGTTGTTTCAAGTGTTTAAACAAATTCATAGGGTTAGCATTAGTTGCTCTGAGCTGCCTTTCACCATTCTGCTCACATGCATGGCTGATAGAGATAGTGTACGTCATCACATGGTACTAACTGATGTTGACAGGAAAGAACATGGTAAAAAAAAATGTTGACAGTTTTTCTGATGATTACAATTTTGCCCACTGCTAGTATCCAAGATGGGATTGCGTGAGTGGTTGTGGTTCGGTAGATTTCTTTGTTGTAACAATGCTTCTTGGCAAYAAATCTAAAAAGGGGCACCTGACTGGCAGCACCTGGGGGTACCAGAAGCTCAAAACAAGTGTCAATAGCAACAGCAGAATAAGTAGTTTAGCAGAGAAGATTTGGTTAATTTTTCATGTGCGYAACCCACATACTCAGCTCTACTGCTCATCCCACAAATGCATGTTCCTTACAAATGTGGCTAAAAAAAAGAATTTAACGGACTTTCCAACTGTTTAAGATTTATTGCCAAAAAGCATTGATACAACAAAGCCATAATCTACCAAACACAAATTTTCTGACTTCTTGTGCTAAGTTTAGATGAATGGATTTAGCATGGTGTTATGTTCTCACCCAGCCTTCTGATTCTGTTRTACCTAAATGTAGTCCAAAAGTATGACATCATTAGGCCAAATGCACCACATCGGATAACAAGTAACATCAATCCCTACAAACACCTCATACTCATGTTTACTGCTATTCTAGACATTGACCCAGCCAATCAAGCAACAGCGRGGATGTTGTTTGGTGAGTCAGCAGCTCAGACTCCCCTGAGACCCAAGTCTTCTGTTTGTGGTAAAAGCCAACGCAGGTATACGACACCCGGCTTGTAGAAACAGCATCAGCCATCACTTCAGATCTAGGACAGGCACGGAGACAGAGCTGCAGACAAGCGCAAAGATGTAGGGCACTTTTGTTTGTTGGGATTTTTGATAAATAAAACAAGACAGTGACAGACAGAGAGATATTGTCATGTTGGTGGCACAGTGAATAAAAAAAACTCAAAGATCCAGCAGCTTAAAACTATAATGTGAAATATGAGTTCACAATAAAAGAACGTTTCTTAAAACACAATGGAAGTTTGTTTCCAATGTTTGCCAATGGCCAGGCTGATTCTGTGGTGTCCTTCACACGATGCCTCAAAGTCTTATCCAAACTCTCCCCCCTCCTGTCTGGTGTGCTTAACCACGAGCGTGTTCTCTGTGTCCGATCCGCCGGATCTTCACACCTGCCCTGCTCTGAGTAGCAATGTCTGTTGAAGGGTACGGGGGCAAAGGCAGGGAAGAAGACTGTCAGACAGTGGAGATGGCCCTACAACAAATCAATGTAATCGCAGCTCTTATCAGACAGCCTTTCAATCTGTAGGAAGCCCCGGACACGGGGAGGGGAACAGGCTGAGGAAAACGGGGAAATAAGGTCAGAAAGATCTTTGCTTGCATTCAGATCTCCCCCTCACCTTCCTCTGCTTCCCTCCATCATCCTTTCATTGGCTCTGACGAGCTCCTCAAGCTTTTGTGAGTCCAGGGTTATTTAAAAGCAGCCCCCCACCCCCATCCCCAGAGGACCCTCCAGAGGATCGCAGGGCCCCCGCTCTTATCGCACCCAGCCAAAGCAGCTCCACCTGAACCCCGAGGGCCAAGCGCTAAACACATCGATAGACCGACTTGTCCTTGACTGTCGTCCTGTTGTTTGGCAAACAGAAACTAGGACTTTGTTGTTGTTTTTTTTTTGTTTTTTTTTTTGATAAGAGGAATGAAAACAGCGGGAGTTAATGGAAACGTTAATAACCGCCATTCACCAGTCTTTGATTTAGAGTTTTCTGCTTCAACAAGTCACTTGGTCTGATCTCGTTTTTAGCATAAACATCAGAAGACATTTGAACTTTTTTGTTTAAAGAGGAAATGAAAACATTGTTCCGAATCAATTTCTCATTAACCGTTAATGTCACGTAAGAAGTCGCGCAGGAGCTGCATGGATTTTTTGCTGTTGGTTTCATTAAAAAGTTCAACCGTAAAGTTGTCTTTAAACRTAAACTGATCTGTTGGAAAACTCACGTTGCAGAGGTTTTGCTGCTCCACAATCACACCTGATGGCTGCCTGGAGCAGTTTATTGAACCTTTAACACATACAGTGAATAATAAACATACAAGACAACAAAAAAATACTTTGAACAAGATAAAGTAGAAACGTTTTTGCTGCCTGACAAAGAGACAGGTCATTGTAGGAATCGCAGCTGAGCAGAAAGATTGAAAACTGAAATATTTTGTGGATCATTTATGTGATTATTTTAGTTTGCAAAATCTTCAACCTTTGGAAACACTGGAACAAAGCACCTTTATTACTCTTCTCCAGCTATGCTTCCAGTTCCATTCAGTTCTCCACTCCTCATGATTGTGTGTTTTACACAATCATAGTTTGGGTTTGAATATTTTTTTGGAGATTTGGAGATATTAACACAAAATGTTCACTATGATGATGTCAGACTTTTAAAGTGTCTAAAATTTTACATGCTCCTCTACCAGTTTTTGTATTTTTATTACAATTTATACACCAAAACAGCCATTTTTGTCTTCTTCCACCCAGTTTGACTTAGTTTTTCCAAATGCCCCAGACTGCAGATTGTGCACCCAAACTCTCATTGATTCTCATTGTAGGTATGTCCTGTTTCTCCTCAAAACCTGAAGCTTATGGTTTCTATAACCATTTCACATTTTTCTATATAACGAACTGTAGATTTACCATACCATACCAGTTTTATTTATARAGCACTTTAAACACACAGGACCAAAGTGCTGTTCACACATAATAAAACATGGCTCACGGAATCAAAAACTGTCTGGATCCAGGAAAACACCGACACAAGTGAGCGGACGTCACCAAGGGGAAGAACAGAGCCCTGGGTGAGATCAAAGTTTTTTTTATTTTTGACTGTTTTTGTGTGGTACCACTATTTTTCTTTTTCATCTTTTTTGAGGGGGATTTTTGACCTTTTGGACTTTATTTTTGGACTGAGATTTAAAGCCAACAAATGGGAAATGTTTTCAGGACAATTCATTTTTGCCCATATGGAACTCCATTAAGGACTTCAGCCTGATAAAAATATTTGGACTTTAGGAGCCTGCTTTTGACATAAACTGAACAAATTAAGTTTAAGCTGTCATTAGTTGGAAATATTTAAATTGTTTAAACATTTATTTTTTTGTTATTATTTTTTTGTGCATAGTTGAATAAATTTTTGGTTGATAACTTCAATGCTCCCTAATATTAGTTGATTCCTGTAAAAAGTATTATTAATTGTCACCTGATGCCTGGGTCATGATCCCCTGATTATGTTGTAAAGTTCGCTTTAATCCAAGCTGAATGTTACAAAATGGTTTCCCTCATTTGAAGGTGCAGGGGAGGTTTCTGATGTGTTAAATTTCATTGATCAGGGTGAGACATTTCTGATAGTAAGGCCCCTGACTGATCCTGAATTATTGGGAGCTTTGACAGCTGTCTTACAAGGGTTTGCACRGAGTTGGTGGAGTGTGGCTGAGAATAAGGTTCATAACTGGCTTGAATTTAAGAATGCCTTTTGCGCTGCTTTTCTCCCACCAGATTATCTTTCAGAGGTAGGAGGAGAAGTTAAGAGATATGGTCCAGTGCATAATACTTTTTACAAGAATCAACTACAATTCAACATTGAGTAAAACTCTCTTACTTATACTTTTAATAGTATTTCTATAATATTTATTTCACATTCAGTCATTCGTACACATATCTTTCAGTGTTTCTAAGAAGAGGTGTTAAAACACTGTTTCTATGCAGGAAATACCATGTAGAGCTCAGTTATTGTTTGTTGGCAGTGCTCAGCCATAGCATTAAGATGAGGGCATTTTCTGTTTAGTCAAAGTTCAACATGAAATGTTGAAGTTAATCACAACTGACCCTTTGAGAGCCACCATGACCCTCATGTAGCCCTCAGTGAAAATGAATTTGACACCCCTGATACGGACATTGGTGAGTTCTTGTTTCACTTTTTGTTGCTTTATAACTTTACAACACAGATCCAACATGAACGTCTGAACACACAGTGGTTTAAAAAATAAAAAAGTCACATGTATGTTTAGAAATAAATCCTACAGCCAGATGCTCTAAGTCTGCCTCTTTTGTGTCTGCAAAGCGTTTCCCAGAGGAGACATTGATCAAGTCTTCAATGAAGGAAAAATCAAATTGGCTATTACAGAAACACAGGAGTCAAGCCCATCGAATGGATGAAATGAGCCATGAATGGAGCGCAAGCAAGGGAAAAAGGACAGGATGGATAGGAGGCTCTTTTGTTCAAAGAGAGGAGAGATGGGTAATAAGAGACTTGGAGGATTGTTACTGTGGCAGGTGATTCATTCCAGCTCCGTGGAGCAATGGAAAAGAAGAGGTGAGACCGGTGACTGGAAGAGAGAAGATGGGGGGGAAATGAGCGTGGAAACGAGGGGAGATGATCTGTAGGCGTGTATTGTGGCATTGTAGCTCCGGTTTTTGTATTATAACAAGCTGTCTGTCAGATGATGAGATCAGAGGCATTTGCTGTTCACCAGATGCTAAAAAAGGTTCCCGCCGTACCGCTGCATGATACAATAAATAACTAGGTTGGAAATCAAACCGGAGTCTGCGCAGCGATTCTTTTGTAAAGACAGTTCATGGCTGAGCATAATGTGAGCGGCCAGAGGCTGCGACGCTCTGAATGTTGATGCCACAAAGAGTTGTGGCTGAGAATATTTCTCTCTGTCACATAAAGTCCAGCGTTTCTTTCGCAACAAGCGAAAAGAAAAGAAGCACCGAAGACGTTTGCCTGACAATTGGAAAATTGCACCGGTACCTTATCAAGGCGACCATTAAACACCTTTCATTTAATGAAACTTTCAGAAAGTAACCATTGGATGTGCATCTAAAACTGATTCCCTTTTTGGAGTCAGTCTAATTTAAGATGAGGGCCACAGCTGATCGACCTTAACCAGACCCAAAAAATGGTTGCAACTCAATCAGTTTGACCTATAATTGTGGTGTGGTAGTATCTGAGTCATCCCCAACACTTCCTCTGAGCGCTACATATTTTTCAACATTTTTGCTTAAAACTTTGAAATAAATTGCCTGTCTGTTAGCAAAATATCTCATGAACAAGTGAACAGATATTAATGAAACTCTCAGAAATKAATCGATGGATGTTCACTTACAACTTATTAACTTTTGAGCTGGCTGTCCATATCTGATTGATCTTAGTTAACAGAAAAATGGTGATCWTTCAGTCAATTTTACAGACATTAATCTAAACTTTGATCTGGTTGTAGCCAAGACATACACATAAGACTAAGTGCTAACATTTCATGCAATATATGGGCAACTTAAATGATGGAAGGGGCCACTACCAGAGGGCCACATAGTGCTGCACACTTACCAATAGTAAAAAGTCGCAGTTGTTTATGTACTTGTGACCTCATATTTAGATTTGTGCAACTGAAAATGCTGTATATATCAAAAATAAATTTGACTTTGCATCATAGTCTTTCTAAACACCTTGAAATAGCCTCTGTCCCTTCAAGGACCTCCTACCATTCCCAACACTCCCACTACAGCACGTCTTCACAACAATGTTTCAGGGGAGGGGTGCTCTGTGGGGCAGGAGCTCAGCTGCAGACTGAGCTCCAGGAGGAGCTTTGTCTAAATAGGCGGAGCTTTGCACCAGTAGGCAGCTCCGTGTGGTCACTAGATTCAAGGATTTCTCACACATGCATGAATGAGTCAAAGCAACATTACAACATTATATATTTGCATAATACTCACCCGTAAAGGCAGCGAGGGCATACACTTTATTTTCAAGATCTGACTAACATGGTTGTAACTCAGTCATTTGCCAATTATGCATTCCCTAAAGAAATGCTAGTCTTTAAATTTTAGTTCCTTTTTTAATCTAAATAGGCGATTCACCTCTAACTAGTCAAAGGAAATAKCCACAATTGGCATGTTTGTGTCAAATGTTGTAATGTTTACTTTTAATTCACATATATTTTTTTGTAAAGATGGCTAATATTAAAACATTTTGTAAAAAAAAAAAAAAAGAATAAAAAGTATACATCTATTATGAGATGTTCTGTTTCTGGCTGTAGAATCAGAGGTAATCACAAAAACACTGGGGTGTCATTCTCGTAAAAAGAAAAACATGCTGGTCTTTCAAAGACTTTTTATTTTTTCATCCTGAGCCCTGAATTGTTTCCCACCATGCTGTCAGAGTTTCAGCCACAGGCCAGCACCTGCGTTTTCRGTGTAGACAGCTAATTCTCTACCTGGAACCAAGTGAGACCTCCATTCACCTCCTCATTTCTTCTTCTTCTGTCCCTTTTTTTTCACTTCCCTCCGCTGATCCCTGCTGCTGAGGTTAATTATTTGAGAAGAATGAGGTGGAGAGTTAGAAACATGGCAACGGTTCAGCATATAGGCAACAGTCAATCTTTGTGAGCGGAGATAACATCTACTGTACATACACCTCAAGCACAGTTAACTGCAGGGACACGAGAGCAGACAAGCACTCACACAAAAGCACATTGCTTACTTGATTGATGGCGCTCCTTTTTTCAACCGTTTCTCTCTCTCTGAGTGCATTAAAGCGCCAAATAAACACTGGTGCAGGTCCAGACTCAGGGTGGGATTTTAACAGCTCTGCAAAACCTTACGTCTGTCGTTAGCCTCAGGGAGAGTGAGACAAGGGTGGAGGAAGGTTAAACAACAAAGTGGAGGTTTGAGAGCGACCGACAAGCGCAGTTTCCTGGATCAGATGTTATTTCCAAGTACTGTGAATCATCTTTGGAAGCCTAAGCGAATGCATTGTTTTGTCCCCGCAGGCCTGAGCAACGCAGAGTACCAGCAGCAAGGGAAGGCTGCATGCGTTAGCGTCAACTGGACACTGGGCGACTCCCAGTTGGAGGTGGTCAACACGGCGACGGGGCGGCGACGGGATTCTGGGACACCTTCGCGTCTCTGCAAACACGTCCTGTTCACCCGCTGGAACAGACTCTACCGCAAGGTTACRCCCACATTTTCAAAATTATTATCTCTGTTTATTTTATGGCATTTTTTCTGAGAGTATCATTTTTTTCTGATACACCCTGTACTTTCCTAACCTTAGTCTGTCTAACATTGCCTTATTAAAACAATAAAAATAATACAACATGTGCTCACACCAACAGGAAGCATCATAATCATTCTTTCAGCTCAGCAACTTCTTCATCCCTACAGACTGAAGCAATGCCCTCATTGTTGTGGACAAGGCCACAACCCGGTGCACCATCCTACCATCACCCATGACTCCYAGATACCAAATCTAGGATAGTTCTCTTTATTTACATGTGCCATCCTGGATAAAACCTTGGCCATCCCTTGCAAAAAAGTCTAGTTCCACCACTGTTCCAACAAGAACAAGTCTAAATTTGATCCTGAGGCCTGAATTATCTGGGGTTTTAAGCTCTAGTAGGGCCTCCTATGGCAAACTGTCCTCAAGGGAGGGGATCAAAGACCTTGATGATGAAGGAAGACCACATTGATCAGAGATCTTTGCCAAGATCAGAAAAACTGGGGCACCCTCCTGTGGCTAGGTATGGGAGCGCAGCAGGCTGGCAAAAAACTGGTAGTTGAGTCTTGGTTCCTGGGGCTCTGCTGAGCAACGCTCCACACTAGCCCACGTGTGAAGAGAGCCATCAAGATCCTGTACGAGTCAGATGGCAGCTGAGAGCATGTCCCTGGGCACGCCAATTCCTGGCCACATAAAGTGCCTTGAAAAACAATCAGCGTTTAAAATGTAAACCCCTCCTAACTGTCCTGAACACGTTAGTGCTGCGGTGGAACCGACAGAGCATCAATGATCAGATTTCACTCCAGTTCAATAAAGCAACAAAAACTGAAACCTGAAATCAGTGGAAGCTTCCAGACTGTGTGTTAATCGCAGTCATCCTCGGCCCTTACCTTTGGTAGAGGGGATCATTCTGCTTCGAATGACACCAAAATCTTAGTTAACGCTTCACGCTCCAGTGAGCAGGGACACTCGGAAATTCACAGAATTCATGTCCTTTGCGCAAGGAAATGTGAGGGTTAAAATACGATCTGTCACATAAAATTAAAAGTTTAGATGGTGCTTTACACGCATGCCAAGGCATTTTTAAAATAATTAACCCTTTCATGTCCTAACATTGAAACAAAAATATGTCATTTTTGTGTTGATCATAACCAAGGGTTAACAAACACATGTGAAGTGGCCGTGGACAAGTCAATCCAGCCAACTAACATTACATGTAATGTACTGTACATGTACATGTATTCAGTGGGTATTACATGTAATTATTTCATAACCTGGAACAAGATCATGTGATTGTGTGGTTGTCATGGCAAGTTTTATCAAGAATGCAGAAACACGGAATAAATGCACAGAAAGTCTGCGTGTATGGTCGTCAAATGATTTAATTCTTGAGCAACAAACACACAGAAGTCAATCAGGAAGTCTGTCGGGTTTGTGGCTGCCTTCGTCAGCGGAAACAGCCAATAATATGACATCATGTTAACACCATGTGACATTTTACAACNATCACGATCCAACAAATATAACTGCTTAACCAATAAACAGGGCTCTCAGTCCAAAGAGTTAACTTATCAAACAAGAGAGGTCAGTCCGTTGCTGGAGTCCTGACGTCTGGRACAAACAGATTAAGAGCCGAAATAAGTTATCATAAGATATGAGTACTGGACAGCGTCAAGGTGAAACAGATATAAATAATTAGTCCATGACAATCCCTCCACTTGAGTAAACAATACTCAAAACCAAATCAAAAAGGAATAATTATTAAATGTCTGAACACAAATGAAAGAAAAAACAACATCAAGTACAAGGAAAATAGTGCAATTTATATGACGACCATAAACATATACATTCAAATAAGGCAAAATACAACAGGAATAAGCTTAAAGACAAATAGAACATCATTACACATCAGAAAACATCAACGAAGGTCAAAAACATGTCAAAATTTAAAAAAACTTAAAAGTCCAAACTTAGACAAGGTATCACAACACCAGTTCTGCCTCCCAGCGAATTTGATTGCGTGAGCCGCCTATGTTCCATCAGAATCTTATCTTGGATTCTGTGTTAACTTAATAACAACTTGTCAATAAATGAACCTTAAGTAAAGCAAATTAGGACAAGGCAGATCAAAGAAGATGCCAGTAGGTGTTTACTTCTAAGTTAACAGATTTAGACAAGTTAAACAACAATTTATAACTCTTTACATTTTCTTTCGTTAAATCGATATGGTCACAAACATGACCCACATTTTCAAAATTATTATCTATGTTATTTTTATGGTGATTTTTCTGAGAGTATCATTTTTTCTGATACACCTTGTAGAATAAGAGACGTAAATGTTGAATCTTTTATGTTGAACATGATATCTTACATCAGTTAATAACAGCTCTTCAGTTAACCCTATGCGTTACCCAGTCCTCTTTAAAACTGTTCGTATTTGAAGAATMATTTTTATATTTCCCACTGGAGGTGTTTTGGCCACATACATCTGGGAGGAGGTGCTGAGGTGGACTCTAAACTCTGGCCTCAGATCACCTGAGAGGAGTCGAAACAGAGTGATGCCTCCTAACCACCCTAATTTAAAAGATTATTTCTTTTTTCATTATTATTTTCTGTAAAACAACAGAATACATTAACACAAGCTGAAGCGATAATCTTGTTTTATGTAACAATTCGCTGAATTCCGATCTGCCCTCGCCCCATATCTGAAGAGCAACAGGCTGTGCTCAGTCTGCTGCCATCAGCCACTAAAACAGAAACATTAACTACAGTGCAGCATTCTGACACCAAAAGAAAGGCACAAAGATGTGTTTTAAAACCAGTCACGGAACGCTCTGTGCAGAAGAAACGCACAGCTTCCTCCCTGCCGTCGACACATTTGTCGTCTTGGCAACATTTGCCGTCCGCGCAGCCTATCAGAAACCGTCAGCTCGGATCTTCAGCCGCCGCATCTCCATTTTCCGTTCTGAAACTTTATGTAACAGACACCGCCTGCGTCGGCAAATGGCAGGCCGTTAAAGCATAATGACTATGAAAGCATAATTATTTGGAGAAGTGCTCGCCGAGGCCCCCACCCTAAGTGCTCCCCGCGCGACGCACATGAAGGGCCACGCAAGAGCAGTCGCACTAATCTCCAAAAGAAACTTTTGCTCTCGCCGCCTCCCTCTCCCCGTTCGTCTCTCCGCCGATCTTCGCTGTTTCCCCTCACGACGGTACGGAGAGG